TAAACCTTAACTATCTCAAGTATCTATAAGTTTGTTTCCCTGCTCAACCCGGATGAACACACTGGATAATTGTAACAATTGTTCTTATGGCCCATTGTTGTTGCTAATGTGTCAACCCATCTTGGCCAAGGTCTTCCTCTTTTTCCCTGACCCTACTTTACCAAGCATGATCCCTTTCTCCAGGGCCAGGTCTCTGCAGATACCCTGTCCAAAGTGTGTGAGATGGAGTCTTGCCATCCTTGCCTCTGTACTTCCAAGGCACATTTGTCTCTTCTGTGTGCAGTCTATAGTACTTTCAGTATCCTTCAACAGTACTCTAATTCAAATGCATTGATTCTTTCTCAGTCTTCCTTATTCGATGTCCAACTTTCACATCTTACAGCATATGAGGTAATTGAAAATACCATGGTTTGGGTCAGGGGCACCTTAGTCCTCAAAGTAACATCCTTGCTTTTCAACATTTTAAAAGATTTTGTGCAGATTAACCCAATGCAATATTATTTGATCTCTTGATTGCTGTTTCCATCATAACCAATAATTATCAATTTATCTTGACTGTATGTTTGATTGATTTCAGACTGCAGAAATTGATAAAAAAAATTTTCCATTTCCTCATCTTAGTTATTTGTGATTGGAGCACAATTTGAATAAGAGTCATATTAACTGCTCTCCCTTGTAGGCCTATAGATATCACCCTATCAGTGACAGCATTGTATTGCATGATAAATCTTAAAATGTTTTTACACAACGAATCTGATGCCATTCATCTTCAATTGGCCATTCCTAGCATAATAGACTAGATGCTTGTATTACTGAAAATAGCTAATACCAGTCCATTCGAACTGATGACATCAATCATTATGTGTTCCATTTTATTTTTGACATCTTCCAATTTTCCCAGCTTCATATTTTGTACATTCCTACATTGATTTGACAGCTGTTTCTTCATGACACATTAGATCTGATCAACAAGGGAAGACCTTAAAAGATTCTACTCCTGTAAACAGTTACAGTCCTGCAAATCCACAGGAGCAATTCCACCGTGTCCTCTAGGGGCACCCTGAGTTGGAATCAACTCCGTGACAGCAAGTTTGTTTTCTTTGGTTTATGTCACTACGTTTGGCCCTTTTTTTTGAGGAGGCAGCTCTTCCCCACTCATAGTTGATTCATTTTCCTGAACTGTATGAGCCATGGTTCTATTTATAAAGTAAAAAAAAAAAAAAAAGGTTTCACTAGCCAATCTGTTTCAGAATGAGATCACCTGGTTCTCCTCCCTAGTCTGTCTTTGTCTGGAAGTTCCACTGAAAACTGTCCACCATGGGTGACCCTACTGCTATGTGACATTCTATGAATCCTCACAGCAACACACCGATCACCAAAGTATGACAAACTGATAGACAAGTGGTAGGAAAGTATCACTAAATGCTAGATAACCAACCTTTGAGTTCATTGTTTACCTAGTACCTACGGGCATATTTGAATAAGTTGAAAATCCTTGGTTGTCTAAGGATTCTTTTTATAGCTGTGGAGGGATGCTAATCTAGCAAAGCGTGGGCCTAGGAAGAACCTTTTCCTGAGGAGTGGGACAGACACAGAAAGAAGGGGCCAAACCTTTCAAAATTCTCCTCTGCCATTTACCAAGAGAAAGGAAGCCAGAAGGTAGAGTGCTTTGATGATCTGAACTCAACCCTTCACAATGAGTGACTGGAGAGTCTGAAGTGGAAAAGCAAGTAAGTTATGAAGGACAGAGAGTTAAAGGGCCTCTGGTTCAAACTGGACATGTTAGGGTAGGGAGTCATTAAAGACGATATGAGAATTTATGGAAAGTGTACCAATCTGTGTCTTTAAAAGTTTCAAGAGAGCCTCTCATATTCCTTGTATTATGATGATTAGAAGTATTTTAAGAGAGATTTATTTTTATCTTTAGGAACCAATTGTGCTTTTGTCCATCTAAAAGCCCCCAAGAGCTTACTTCTGCAGACACTAGGCCATGCTGCTCCCTTCCACAGGAAGTCAGCGCCCTTACACAACTCACGCCCTTGAGAGGTCATTTCGTTCCTTTTGAAAGTTGTGAGCTGCAAAATATTTTGACCGAAAGGGTCCTCAAAGGCAAGAATCCCAGATCTCATGAACACTAATAAGCTTTCTTCGATGTTTGAAATTGATTAGTTAATGTGCCATAAATGTCTGAAGACAAAGAGATGTGGCTAGCGGCTCTGTTGGCGGAGAAAGGCCATCTTACAGACACGGTGTCAGTTCAAAAGGTGGACGACCTGGGACCCTGACTTTGCCATTTGTCAAAGGTTTCTAGGACATCAACTGTAGCAAGGCACCTGTTGCATCTTTCACTTGTCTGAGAATAATATTTGATATGAATTTGATCTAAAACCAAGGGGCTGCTTGAAAAGTAGGGGATTTGGAGTCCACCGGACTTCGGTTTCAAGTCCGTCCACTAACCAGGGATGGGGTGGGAGTGGGGGGTGGAAAGTTTCAGAGGCTCTCAGAACTTTCATTTTAAAGTAAGGATTTTTTTTCTTGATGGCTGTTGGCCAGGGGTTAAAGTGAATCAGGAAAGGTGCTACTTATTAATACTATCACGACTTGAACCTATTTTATCATGGTAAAATAGATATAACCAACATTCGCCACTTTAAGGATTTTTAAGTGTAGAACTTGGTGACGTGGATTTTATTCATCCGGTGCTAGTCTCACCACTAGGCATTTCCAAAAGTTTTCTATCATCTCAAACAGAAACTCCCCTCCTTCAGCAATATCTCTCAATCCCTCTTTCTGCCCTCCAGGCCTTTGCAACCAGGGATCCAATTTTGTATCCACACATTTGCCTGTTCTATGTCTTTCATGTAAATGGGATCATACGCGGCGGCTTGTCCTTTCATGACCTTTACCCAGCGTAATGTTTCCAGGTTTCATCTCTGTTGCAGCGTTCATTGGGACTTCATTTCCTCTTATGACTGACACTTTGCTACCCTTCATCTGTGGATGGTTTCCATCTTTTGGCACTGTGACTATCGCCACTTGAAAATATTAAAGCAACTCATGCAAGGTTGGCCTCATCTATGACAAGGACTACGAGGAGACTCTGTAGGTCTGACCACTGAAAAAAGGTCTCAATACAAGACATTGTCGTTCTGACATCTACCAGTTCATCTGCCATGCTGTTGGCTAGGTTCTCAGGACCTCCGCTTCCTAAATTATGACTAGGGCAGTAAAATATTAATACAATTTTCTAGGCATAAAATGTTTTATCATTTGGAGTTTTACAGATTTATATAACATGGAATGAAATATCCATCATCGACAACAAATTCTATTGTTCCCAGAAGGGGTAGATAAATCTCAAGGCATAATTATATTCCTGCTGGCCATGACCTTTGAAGATGTATATGTGCTTGAAAAATAATAGAATTATTCCTTCTTATCAAGAGCATTTGAGCTTCTATTTGAAATATGCTTTTAATGAAATTTTTAATTTTACTAAAGTATGCAATCTTCACTTTCTTTTGGCTTGAGTTTTCTATTAGTCTGACAGAGGCTGTTAATCATATCTAGAAGCCTGTCTACAAGCACTCTTCACTTGCCTGAAGTCCAAATATAATTATTGTGTGTTTCCAAGGATATGCCCATATTCTACCTAAACTTAGTAGGAAACAGACAGGAGCCATTGTTAGCACTCATGCTATGACTAACGTCCACCTATGGGACCGCATGTGTCAGTAACCCCTACTGTTTGCTTAAACTTACCTGGAAAAATTAAGCAGTCTCGGGAACCTACACACCATTGCCAGCAACCCAATGAACATTTCAAAAATCAATCTTAAGCACTTAACATTTTCAAAATATTGTGATAGAAATGAGAGAAGAGATAAATGATGAGGGAGGACTAGGAGAGACTGAGGGAGAAGAGGGGAAAGGTGGATTTGGGAAGAGGTGCTGAGGAGAGAGAAGAAAATAATGAAAACAACGGCCAAAGCCTACCTGCTTGGTCCCATTCTGAAACAGATTTTCAGTGGTGTTTGCCTCAACAAAAGGCTTCTCTGAATGTTGATCAGTGTCTTTAATACCGTTAGCTTCCAAAGATGAAGGTACACTGACATACATCTCACTGTGTGTCTATGTTTGTGCATGCAAATGTTGAGTGTGAGTACCTATTCAGCAGCAATGGAAATTTAAAAACCAGTGTGTGGGAAGCATGTACTCTCATACTTTTCCATCTCCCAAGTCCTTTGGTGGTACCAAATCATGCATCTTTGAGTCTGGATGAATTCAAGAGTGCAGTATGAGATTCTGAAGCAGCACACAGCTGAAGGTGCAACTAAAGATGGGCACTGATACCTTGTCCTTGTGAACACACCTAAACTCAGAGAGAAAATACACACACATGCCACTGATAACCCTCCTTCATGGTCATGAGTTAAAAAGCAGCAATTCATCCCCTGAGCTACTGCTGCGTGTCCCAGTGCTAATCTCTTTCCCATGCTATCAATGAATTTATGATCAGAGCGCTTCACTTCAATCTCATTGTTCGTTCTTGGTTTGTTTGTGAAGACATGGGAGATTGAGGGGATTTCCACTGTAGTAAGGTTGTCACCTCTCTGTTTTACAAATCTCAACAAAAATCCTCCTGGGATACTTGGGTCAACCTATCATACTCAAGAGGAGGCCACAACTGGCTATAAGGAACAGGGAGAAGCTCTTTCTCTGTAGATCACATTGTGCAGCCATCAGGAGCTAGAGAAGAAGACGAGTAGAGTGGTTTCTGGGAGGGCTAACAAATGGGCAAGTAATTGAACTCAAGTAACCCCTAGTGTCCTGAGTACAACTATCCAAGGCGGGGTCACAGGCAATAGCAAACATTCACCATCAAATTCAAAATGCCCTGTTTTCTAACAGGCAAAAAAAAAAAAAAAATACTACTCTTTGCATTGCTCTGGAGATTTCTAATTACAAATGAAATGAAAAACAAGAAAAAAGAATCTTACCCATGAGGAATTTTGCTCAGGACATAATATCCAGTGTAGGAATGTTGATATATCTGAAACAGAAGGAAAACAAACAAACAAACAAACAAACAAAAACAAGCATTGAGACAAAGGCTGTGACTACAAATAATTTTTAAATAACTATAAATCCAAACAAACACAACTAGACCAAGAGTAGTTAATCAGGAGACCCGGAGGCAAAGCCTTTTATTTATTTAGGAAGTCAATTTGCATATGATATTTATTTCATTCTCATCATTTGTATAATATTTACAGCAAAACCAGAGGCTTGATGTTATCTCCCTGGCTACCTGGTATGTGATTTGGCTAGGGGCAAAGATTCGCATCTTAACTTATTATGGCATAGATCCTACTGAGGACACCTTGGTCATCAGGGCAGTTAGACACATGTACCTGGGTCCCACAGGACAGTTAGACCAACCAAGTACTAGGGGTGTTGCCTGTACATTATGACAAAGGTCCAACCCAAAGTTCCCTTCTGTTCTCAGTAGGCTGTCATCCTGAAGTCAAAACAGGCTTCCTTAGGTAAACTCATCCCTTAATTTGATTTGAGATATCTCTCATTTTAGGGTGCAAAAGAGACCCCACATCTCAAGTAAAAATTAAGGGTAATATTTATGAAGTTTTAAGCAGGAAAAGACACATCATCCAGATGAGGGAGACCATTAGCAGGAGATCGGAATGGTGTCTAAGGGTTGACAGGGATTTAGAGACTTAAACTGGGCGTGGGAGGGGAAAAGAAACCGTTCCCAAAGCACCATAGGCAGAAGGTCACAGTTTCTAGCAGGACCACAGAAACAAGAATGGGACTGTGATTGGGATGTGCATATTATGCTACACAAAAGAGCTTACAAGATTGGTTCAGGGCCCTCTGTCCAAGGCAGGGATCTCTGACCATGACCATGTGACTATAATGATCCAAGCTTCATACTGGACATGCCCAGGCAAGTCCGCAAGGAGACAGAGCCCCCTCCCCTTAGACTGGCTAAGGGAGTGACAATCAGCTAGTTTCTAATGCACTCTGCCTGAGGACAAAGCTATTCAAGCTGATGGTTTGTGGCAATAAGTAATTCAATGGAAGCTAAATTTATGTGGAAACTCATAAATGGATTTCAGGATTTTGCTGTAAATCAGTCTCCCACAAACAGAGTGCTTAAAAATTTTACCTCTATTACACGCTTGTATGGTGAGAGGACACAACCCTCTCTCACACATTTCCGGATTTGAAACCATGCAATATTCCCTTGTTGCATTCACATACAAGAGCATGAGCACAATGCATGAGCATGATGAAGCGTTCAGAATTCCCAGTCTTCTCAAGGTTAACCATAGTCTGCATTAGGTAAATATGCTGCACATGACTTCTTTAAAGTATTGTAAAGCAAGGATACTACGTGGAAGACTAAGACAAGCCAAACCCAAGCCATGGTATTTTCAATTGCCTCACATACATGTGAAAGTTGGAAATTGAATAAGGAAGACCAAAGAAGAATCAGTACATCTGAACTGTGGGGCTGGAGAAGAATATTGAAAGTACCACGGGCTGCTAAAAGGACAAACCAATCTGTCTCGGAAAGAGTAAGGCCAGAGTGCCCCTTGGAGGCCAGGATGATGAGACTTTGTCTTACAGACTTTGGACATGTTGTCAGAGAGACCAGTCTCTGGAGAAGGGATCATGTTTGGTAGAGGAGCAGGGCAGTGAAAAAAGGAAAGCCCTGGAGGAGATGCACTGACACAGTGGCTGCAACCATGGGCTCAGGCATGAGAAATATTGTGAGGATGATTCAGGACCAAGTAGAATTTCTTTCTGTTGTGCATGATGTTGCCATGGTTGGAGCTGACGCGACAGCACCTAACAACAACAACAGCAACAACAACACTGCACTCTTAACTTCTGATAGAGTGAGTGGTCAATAAACTAAGAACACATGGCAATAGGAGGGTTCATAGTAGCAAGGTAATGAAAACATAAAATTTTGTTTCCAAATTCCTCATTATCAAACTAATGCCTCTCTTACTTTTGAGGAAAAACTACACTTTCCTAGACTTCAACACACTGATGGGTCGATAAACAGAAGAGAGGGCTTGTCAGTTAAGAAAAGTTTAGCAGCCTTCAAATCCAGATTTCTGGCTAAGGGAGTCATCATTTTTGTAGTACAGGAATGTGACTTACTCTTATCTTTTGAAATATAAATGTGTGTGGGTGTGTGTGGGTGTGCATACAATTCCAAGCCCTGGAGCCTACGACTATGGCCCTCGTTGGAGATAATGCCTTTATAGGTGTCATCAAGTTAAGATAGGCCCAATTACATGAGGCTGGGCCCTAATCCAATGGGTGGTATCTTTATTAAGGCAAATTAACAAAAACAAACCCATAGTTGTCCAAGGCGATTGAGACCCATGAGGGTCCCCTGAGTTACAGAAGGACACGCTCCATAGAACCTTCTTGGCTGTGATCATAGAAGCAGCTAGGCCTCCAGGCCCTCTTCCTCGGTTGCACTGGGTGTAGTGAAACCACTAACCTGTAGGTTAGTCACGGAACCCAAACCACTTGTCTGTCCTTTACGAAGGAAATTTAGATATGGGGCCCCATTGACAGAATGCCATGTGATGGCATGGCTAAGCTCCCTCACATGGCTAAATATTAGAAATCTAAAAGAGGAGATTCTCATTCCTTATTCTGGAAGCTTCTTCCATTGAAGGTAGAGCAATGCCTTTACAAGCCCTGAAACTCCAAGGACTGTCAGCGGAGAATAAATCCTTGTTGTGGTCAACCCTGTCTGTGGTAATTTGTTACCAAAAGTCTAGAGAACAATTGCAAGGACAGCGTCCCGTACTTCACAGGGACCAAAAATCATCCTGCAGACCATACGCTTTTCAACAACTTTTGATATTTCCTGTCTCATTTGGTAGCTCCATCATCCACTCAGGAAACTGAGTTGAAGATGTAGTTTTCCTCGACTCCATTATTTGCCTCCTTCCTCCCTCTATTTGAAGCCAATCCCTCCCCGCAAATGATGTTGAATTCATTTCCTATACCCTTCTCAGATCTATCACCCACTATCCATCCCTTGATTTGATGGGCCTTGATTTGATTTCTGTACCGAATAAAGCTACTATATTCCTTCCTAAAACTAGTCTCTGAAGTCTTGATCCCATTTGTGTGTGTGTGTGTGTGTGTGTGAGTGTGTGTTTGTGTGTGTTTCTGATTGAACCTTAGCAACATCTTCACCACAAAAAACCCTGGTTAATGCTTTGAGCCATTTGCTCTCCATTGTTACTTCTCCCAAGACTATTGATTATAACTCAAATATTCTATATTAAAAAATTCTAGCCATAGGTCCCTTTAGCACCCTTTTTATTTCACTATCATGGAGCTGGATAAGAGAAGTGTATCCTACTTCATGGACTTAATCTCTATTCACATCTAATCCATTGTAATAGATTCCCAGCATCATCAAACTGCTGTTTACAAAAATGCTAGCCTACTCTATCCCTTGGCAACACCTGATAAAACTCACTTATTGTCATTGAGTCAATTCTGTATCATAGTGACCCTATAGGATAGGGTAGAACTGTCGCTGTGGGTTTCTGAGACTGTAAATCCTGACTGGAGTAGAAAATCCCATTTTCACCCGTGGGGCGGCTGGTGGTTTCAAACTATTGACCTTGTTGTTAGCAGCCCAGTGCATAATCACTCTGCCACCAGGGCTCTAGAAGTGACTCTTCTTCAATGTCTCTATTTTCCACCTGCCCATCTCCATCCAGCCTCATTACCTTTCTAGTTTGTTGTACCTGTGATCATCAACCCAATTCAAAATGCCCACTACAAGACAGCAGGGAGCATCCTCACACTGTTAGGAAGGTTGTAGTCTTTGTGAAAGCAGAGTGCTATTTCATCCTTTCTGAAGGCAGCTAGGGATTTCAAATCAACCGACCTTTAAGCCTAGGGCTTTTAACCAGGTACCACCAGGACCTCTTTCTTCTTCTTCTTCTTCTTTCAATTAGTTTTACTGAGCTCTAATGAACACAATATACAATTCAATCATATTAAGAAGTCTGCTGCCATCATCACCACAATCAACTGTGGATCATTTTCTTCCATCTTGTACCCATGAGTGTTGATGTTTCCTTTCTCCCACCCTCCCCTTTGATGCCCCAGGTAATTATTATTCCAGTTACTGTCATCGTAAATCCTGACTTCCCTATACAGAAAAACATATGACAAAGGACAAGGACAAAGAACACACACACAAAGAATCCAGCAATTATGATCATATGAAACAGTGAAAGACCTCAACTGAAGGAGAAGCAAAGGATATTAGAAATTTAGGATAAATTGAAATTAGGTCCAAAGGGGGATTTAATAGCAAGAGGTTACATTCCAGTTTAAGTAGAGTTGCTAAAAACCTCTTTACAGTGCTCTATTTCCCCTTGATATTAGAGCTATTCACACTTCTAGTCTACGGGAAATGGTGATTCAATGGGGACTCAATCTATGTAGGGACCTTACAAATAGATTTTGGGAATTGCCTATAATCCATATCATTCTGCAAACTGGGTGTTTAGAATTTAGGACTGGTACCATTCCCTCTTCTGGGTTTGAATTTTATTGTTTACAGTCTTTGTATCCCACACACTGGTGTGCTCCTTCCACAAGGACTTAGCTGACTCCTCAATTAGAAGTCTAATTGTTTTCAGACAGGTCTTTAAGATGCCAGACACTATTTTTCCTGATAGCCAGGCACTATCTGATTTCTTCACTACATGTTGCTGTAATATCCATATCTTAAGTGATCTCATATGATCTCATAAGGGCAAGAACCAGGTAAGGCCATGTCACAAAACCAAATGTTCTTACATTAGATTTATGATCAAGCGAGAGGTCAAAATGTATTCATTTAACTATGGTGTCTTTAGGTCGATGGTTCATTTTAGAGATATCTTTGTCATTTGTTGTAGTACATCATACATCCTCCTCAGTGGGCTTAAGATAATTGTTTTGATAGCGTTATAGTCAATGGTGAAACAC